GCCAGCCAATAAAAACTGAGAAGTCTTATTTTTATGGCATCGTAATGACTAATGGTAATGTAAACTAGTGAGCATTTTGGCCTTGGTATCGTCCTGTCGCTCGTGCTTTGCCTGCAAAGACATCTACAAGGTAAAGAAGCCTTCCCGCAATATAAAGTGCATCTCCCAGGAATTCAGTGTCCTATTCGTTCACGCGAGAATCCCAACCTATTTTCTTTGAGTCCGACATCCCAACATCTTTCTAATAATTCCGTTGAATTTATTCGATAAATACACTTCCTTTTTACGTTTCGTTTCTTCAAGACGCTCAGACCATTCTCCTCCACTATTGCATTCACTTCCCAAGCCTCTTCTCTCCGCGGTCATCCTCTGTTCTCAGACGAGCAAATAGTACTAGTACTCGCGGCCCGTCCCCACACACGTGTTAAACTCTGACCAGACGAGCGTGAGTGGACAATTTGTCCCATCATCCCGCGCCAATTTGCGCTATTAGCCGTAACGGTCCCCTCCCCCCCCTTCCCTGTCTGTCATGCAAATCTGGCATCGCACCGGGCCACGCTGGAACAACGCTTTCGAGTTACCTTCCCACCCTTTTACTTCTTCCGTTTGCAAGGCTGTTTCCACTTGCGTGGAGATTTTCGTGACATCCATTTCGCGTTGTCGCATCGCGCGGAGAAATAAAGCCAGCGATGTGTTAAGAGACTTCATCCTACGGTCTCTCTGTTAGCGCGTGCGCCTTATTTATACGGCTAACAGTAATAATACAGGATAACAGAATTTTGTAGGATTTTTTTGCAGGCAGTCGTGCATTACGTTCTCATTCAACCAAACGTAATTGTCCATGGTTTCATTTTGACTTTCATTCCGGAACGACGACGACAACAACAACAACAACACCCCATAACAACAACTCTCCAAAACAACTACATGGTGACCATGTTCTCAATCTAGTATTTGTCCTTCATTTTCCGAGCCCCCAAAAGAAGACTGTTCTATTTCTCTCAAACAGTTCGAAAAACATGCAATTATAACGATCTATTTGTCTAAATGTTAAATCACATTCTCATGAGATTCTTCGAAGTGATACCCTTGCTTCCCCCCCCCCCCCAACCCCTTTTGAACCTCTCACACATACACACACACACACACACCCACCCACACACACACCCACACACTAACACACACACTGATACACACACTCATACACACGCATACACATACACAAAAACAAACACGCACACACACACATGAGTAGATGGGATACACTTGAACAGGGGTGGAGACGATAGCCAGGACAGAAGTAGATGAGCTTTTAGGCCTATACCCCGAGAAAGGCTGGAGATGATGATGATGATGATGATGATGATGATGATGATGATGATGATGATGATGAGACATGGACGGGTTTCGAACACTGTTTAAAATGTAACAGGACTGTTGCAACAAGTCATCAAATAATAGCGGGGGAATCTATTAAATCCATTTGTATGAAATAGGAAGATAACTTTCAGAAAAGCCAAATTGTATTGTAAGGACCTGGCAAAAGGTAAGCATGGTCTGGGAAGGGCGCTTCTTTTGAAGACTTGCACTTTGAAATCATAGCGGAATGAAATGTTTTAAGAGTTGTGGGTCTACTCAGTCTCTTCTACAGTCTTTTTTCCTCCTCGATACTGTGTCTGAGTGTATAATAATACTAATAATGATAATAATAATAATAATAATAATAATAATAATAATAATAATTATAATAATAATAATAATAATAATAATAACAATAATATCATTATCATTATGCCTCTTTTTCATCAGGGTCTGGTTTTTAATGGTTAGGTTTTATATTTAGTGTGTCTGAGTGTATAATAATAATAATACTAATACTAATAATAATAATAATAATAATAATAATAATAATAATAATAATAATAATAATAATAATAATAATAATAATAATAATAACATTATCATTATTATTATGCCTCTTTTTCATCAGCGTCTAGTTTGTTATGGCTAGGTTTTATATTTAGCACGAAAAAGACTCGAGGTCACTTCAGTTCAAGAGTTGGAAAACACATTTTATTTTCGTTTTTCCACTGGAATGTAGTGCTCACAGATCAGGTTAGTCCTTACAGCAACGATCAAAGCAGCAAACCTTCTTATGATCTAAATAGTGTGCACTGCCTCTTACAACATTTACTAAGAAATAATAATATTCTCCAACTGCTCTTGTCTTGTGATGAAAGAAATCATGATAGTAACTTCAGTACGAGAATAATAATTGACAATTGTAGACAGTGGGGGATTTTTTGAAGACTGTGTTGTCGCCAGTTCGAGGTTCGTATGGGAATGAACTGTTTCCAGAACTGCGTGAATGAGTGACTGTGTCCGTGAAAGATTTTAATGTACTTCTAGGATTTGTTTGGTTGGTGATGAGTATCTGATAAGTGAAACATCGTTAGTTTTTTTCGTTTGTAAAGAAAAGCAAATTGACACGATAACCGTCTTTTAGTGCAAGAAAGGGGTAAGATAGAAATAACAGGAGGAAAGAGAAGAAGTACAAGCTAGCAATGGCGCTCTCCGGTCCTCGCATGAAAAACAGTGTGAGGATCTGTTAGAATAGTACAAGTAAAAGTAATATTTTATATTTTTGTTGTGGTTGTAAAATGGATGAAGATTAGAAAATTGACGAATACAACTTTATTAGACCGAGTGGTCAGACTGGTTGCACGAATGATAAATGTTCATTTTAAAAATAGGTTAAGTAGAGTTTTTATGGTGCTCCCAACTGCATAAGGTCATATGAGCGCCGAGCGCCAAGGAGTGGATGTCAACGGAGAAGTCCAGACAGGGAATCAGGCTTACTACCTCTCTAGCTTCAATATCACAATGTCTACTTCGACTACCACGGTACCCCGGAAATAGCGGGTCACAAGAGAGTGACAGGAAAGAAAAAGCAGCAGTTCCCCCAAATGCAGTTCACGCACAATTATGAGCATGATATTGATGAAACAGCCCATTTACAATTCTACTGAGCCTAAGAACATGTTTATGTCCACCCTTTGGGAATGGCCCAAAGACACTCCAGTCAGTAGCACCGTCCGGGGGGGGGGGGGGGGGGTTATGTTTATTTTGTTCCGATTTAAGGAAAGTACATTTTTTCCCAGGAAATGAGAAGTTTACTTATCTCTCTTCTCATCCCCCCAGATTTGATTGCAGATTCACACCACGAACTTCTGTCCACATTTTCATTTCTTCTGTAAGTGTCACTGCAAACAACCCAAAAATACTCTTCAATATTCTGTACCAAATTTTAAAGCCCTAACGAGTCCTGCATCGGTAATGACGCATCGCTGTCAAAAGAATAACCATTAATGCCTGAGCATAAGCAGGTCACAAATGGAGAGGCAATGAGCACATGATCGATCTCTTGGTTAATTAAATAAATTGTCTTAAGATAGCGCAGTTGGAAACCGACACTGATCCACCCAGGGACTTGGCATTAGTGGTGCATTTGAAATGCATTTGCTGGTCCCAGCGAACACAGAATCCGTATTAGCTCCCCTGATCACTCTGACCGAGGAGGAAGTTGCAAGTTTCCTCTGGGGTCACGATCGGAGCCAACAAGGTTTCTCTTGACCTGGGGAATAAAAGTTCTTTCTTTCACGTCTTCAACATTTTGGGGCAGGTTCAAACAGCTGGAATAGATTTGCAATAGTCTTTCGATATAGTCCACGATAAACTCTTTTCAGAAACCTATACTGTTTGATAATAACATTAATAATGCAACAACAATAATAATAAATAATAATAATAATAAAATAATTATAATAAATAGCATTTGTTTTGTACATATCCCCACTCGACAGCAAGCTCTATGCGCTTTACACAGTATAATATTATTACCCCAGCAGACTATAGAACACTCACACTCAGAAACATTCTCAGCTGATTGAACGCTCAAACATTAACAGACTGACACTATCTTAGCGGTGAGTTTGTCACCGTTGTCCTATTTCTTTTCTCGTATCATGATGTTTCGGCATGTATTTTGTGCTTTTCCCCTACAAAAAATTGTCGTGATGGTGCTGGCCTTCTTCCCTTTACTAAATGCATTTTGTTTCTTCTTGGAAAATCGTATAGCAATATTGAAATTCTTCTGGATAGGGGTAGGATGCGAGGGGGGGGGGGGTTCTTTTGGTAAATCACCCTGGTAGACAGCTCCATCCTATCCCTCCACAAATTACTTAATAATGATAATATTGATAATATGATAATGATAATAATGCTAATAATAATGATTAAAAGAATAATAATAATAATAATAATAATAATAATAATAATAATAATAGAAATAATAATATTGACAGTAATAATAATATAATTAATGATGATGATAATGATAATAATTTATAATAATAATAATAATAATAATAATAATAATAATAGTAATAGTAATAATAGCAATAATAATAATAATAATAATAATAGTAATAATACATTAATCATTGCGTTTATGTAGCGGAAGTGCACGTGTACTGCATGGTCTCTGCGCTTTACAAACTATCATTACCAAGTCAAACCCAAGATCACTCAGAAATATTTTTAGCATCCTTGAAATCGTAAAGTAAATGTTGAGGATTACACGAGTTAAAGCACTAATAATTCGTTGTCTACAGCCGGATATCCATTCCCACCTGTGTATAGTCGGGGAATTCGTGTAAAGTGCCTTTCCCAGGGATACAACGCCAGGCCCCTGACTGGATTCGAACCAACAACCTTACAGTTGGGAATCCGAGAGTATAGCCACTAGATTACCGACATCACAAAAAGATTGTTTTTATTCGCTAGTGAAAAGAAAGAGATCAGCAAAGAAATAAATGGTTAGTTTGAACAATATACTCTTCACTCCTTCCAACAGTAATTCTTTTCCTCGTTTTTTATGTTTCCTTTGTTTTAATTTTTTTTTTACCTTTCACACCTTTACCTATCTAATCTATTTGCAGCCTTGGCTACTACTTCAGTCAGTGTAAAGCCTCTAGCTGATCCTGTCTGGTACATTCAGGGACGGCCTCTGCGCCTGACATGTATCGTGGAGGACGAGGAAGGAACCGAGACACCGAACTGGCTCAAGGAGGGATTTCCTGTGGGTCTTCCGAAACATGAGGTTCGCAGTTTTGTTGTTGCTGTTTTAACTGACATAATATGTACAGACTACATTGTTTGAATATCAATGGTATTATTCTTTCTCCTGCCTGCTCCTCTTACCCTTTTGACTCCCTTCCCTTTTCCTTGTGATCAGCCTCGTCATTATATGTCTCCTCCTATGTGTAGATCTTTTATTTTTGCAATTCGTAACTTCTTTTTACACTGGAATCAATCATTTTAAGGCTGGTGATTTTTTTAATAGAGGGGTAGGGTGACGATCAGTTGTTTCGGGACAAGATCGCACATTTGGTAAAATTGTCAGCACGAAAGAAAGCTGTAAAGAAGAAGTAAGAACAAAAAATATGTCACCTAAAGCCAGAAGGCCTGAGCTGCAGCCTATCAGTTTGGTTTTCCCCCCATATTCCCTGTCGTTGGGACAGTGGACTTAATACATGTGTATACATCCCCATTTGGTTAAGAGTCAGCTCTCTGTATCCCTTGTTTATCTAAAGAGATTTTTCTAAACATTGAACGCCTAAATTAGATTGGATAGGAAGCACATGAAGAAATCCACGGAAAAGGACACAAATGAGGGTATTTTTTTCCTTGGGAATTTGGAGTGGAGGGAGTGTGAAGTGGTTGGGAGAGAGAGAAAGAGAGAGAGAGAGAGAGAGAGAGAGAGAGAGAGAGAGAGAGAGAGAGAGAGAGAGAGAGAGAGAGAGAGAGAGAGAGAGAGAGAGCGAGAGACAGACCGACAGACAGAGGCAGAGACAGAGATAGAGACAGAGACAAAGACAGGGGAAAGTGCGAGGGGGAAATGTTGGGGGGGGGGGGGGTCAGATTAGTGGGACTTTGGAGGATCCTTATGTAAAATGTTTTAAATGTACTAGTTTGAATTCTTTATTCTCGATGATTTCCTCAGAATACTTGATCTCAGAACAGCGACAGATATTTTTTGTCAAAGATATAGGTAGCATTATTGTAAAATGGAAATTTCTGTTTGAAAACTAAGTTCTAACCATACATTTCAGATACTTCAACTAATATCGACTCGCCAAGTAAAACCAAGCTTTACTATGAACTACCGTGAAAATACCCAACTTGTGCCCGCTTGCGCTCACAATTTTATAACTTATTAAGCCATGCATTTGCGAATGTCGTACAACTTTTAGCAATCTGAAACTCAGACATTAAACATTAATCACAGCAAAGTATAAAATCAAATAAGAAAATAGACAAAACAATAAAGATCAATGACAGGTAATGAAAGTGAGAGTATATTATGAAAAAAGTACAATAATTAATTGTCTTTTTTGTGTTTTCCTCCATATGTTCGATGTTGTTCTAGGGCAAAGGTTGCAGCCTGTACCGAGACATATTTGTAATATTCTTTCCTGAGCAGGTTTCCCGTCATAAGAACGGGTCAGTGACGACGCTGACGCTGACCATAGACCCTGCTGGAGTCGACGACCTGGGCTTGTACTCTTGTCAATCAGGCAAAGCGGATATTCTCAAAAATGTAGACATGTTTTCAGGTAAGCTGTTACGCGACCCTTCGTTTCTAACGTGCAGTAAACGTGTTGCATTATTTTAGAGCTTGGTTCCGTGATTATGGTAATGAATATCATTTTACCGAGATACAATTTATTATTTATTAGATAGGAGTACCCGGTATCACATTCTACAGGACAAGGGTCAAAATTTTCACCGATGCGACGTTGTTATGAATATTGGGTTTTTTTTTTTTTTTTTTTTTTTTTGGGGGGGGGTAATCATAACAAAAAAATAAAACATAAAACTGGCATTGAGTCTATAGATTACAATGGCTGCTTGCACAGATTGTTTCTGGTGGCGATCTGGGCAATCAAAGGTAACACTTTTTTGTTTTGTTTTGCCTTTTGTATATATTTGTGATATTGGTGGGGTTTTTGGTATTGGGGTTTTTCTTTGTTTGCTTTTTGTTTTTTATGTTTTAGTTTTTTTTGTTTAAAAAAGGGGTATATCGTTTCATTTTAATCAATTTTTTGGATAGAAGTGTTTTATTTTTTATTTTTTGGGGGGGAAG